AGTGAATAAGGAAGACCATAGAAGAATTGATGCTTTTGAGTTATGGTGTTGGAGGAGAATATTGAAAGTGCCATGGGCTGCCAAAAGAACCAAATGATCCGTGTAGGAAGAAGTGCAGCCAGAGTGCTCCTTGGAGGCCAAGATGGCCAAACTTCGTGTTTAATACTTTGGACATATTTTCAGGAGGGAGCAGTCACTGGTGAAGGATATCATGTTTGGTAACACAGAGGGTCAGAGAAAAATAGGAAGACCCCTAACAAGATAGATTAGCCAAGTGGCAGCATTGATGGTGTCAAGCGTGGCAACAGTAGTGAGGTTGGCCTAGGATCGAGCAGTGTTTCGTTCTGCTGTGCATAGAGTCGGTACTGACTTGATGGCACCTAACAACAACAACAATCTTTATGAAACACTTCACCAGGTCTTTTTTCCACGGAGCCTCTGGGTGGATTTGAGCTGTCAATCTTTGGTTAACAACCAAGAGCTTAAACATTTGAGCCACCAGCGTTCCTTGAAGCTGCCTCAGTCCCTGGAAAACTTTAGTGCAAAGTAGTGCTTAGGGCATTATGTTGATTTTAATTTTTAATTCTATAGGTTGTTGTTTTTGTTAAGTGCTGTTCCGATCCATCGCTACCTTGTATTGGGTTTCTGAGGGGGGCGCAGGTGAGCTTGAATTGCCTACCTGGGGGTTGTTGATTAAATTAGCTTTGAATTTTTGTTGTTGTTGTTGTTGTTGTTGTTTTGTTTTGTTTTAAGACAGGAAAGATATTGCAAAGCTTTTGAAATAAGAAAAGAGAGTTGTTCTGATGGCACTCTGACCCTTTGTCCTTAGTAGACAGACAGACACATATACACACACAAGTGAAGCCAGAATGCTGAACAGGAAGACGAGTCAGGCTGGGGAGCCACCTGGAGGTAGTGACAGTTGACCTGGGTCTTGACATAGAGGGTGAGAAACTTGAGTGTCTGGGAAGTGAAGTAGTTCTGTGCAGGGAAATAGTAGGCACACTGCAAGGCAGGCAGAGAGGTGTGTGCAGAGCAGAGACAGCTGATGGGGTAAGGGAAGGCCACACAGTTGAGGAGGTTGTTAAGATCTAACCACAGAGGAATTTGTTAGCTAGAAAGAGAAAGAGAAAGACCCTGGGAGGCCTCTCTTGACTAGCACTTCTATGGGAAGGACTTTTTAAGCTCCCACCCAGGCATCCTTCTTTGTACTTGCTCTTAGCGCGCACACACACACACACACACACACATGAAATCAGGAGGTTGAGCAGGAAGAGAAAGCCACTTGAGGTGGTGACAGTTGATCTGACTCTTCCCCATGGATAGGTGGTGTCTCTGGGGCTGCTCCTGAGTCCATTGTACTTACTGGTTACACCGTTTTGGTTGTCAATCCTCCCCCTTGGGATCCCTGCTCCAGGATCACTGACTAAACTATCCCCTGCTCCTGCCCAGTTACTCAATGTGATTCTGATGTCTTTATTGATCCTGCTGTAAGCAAGGTTGTTGTTGTTGTTGTTATGTGCCATCGAGTCGGTTCCGACCCATAGCGGCCCTGTATAGGGTTTCCAAGGTAGGGAGGCTAATAATCAAAATCAAGCCATTGAAATCAATTACTTTATAGTTAAAGCAATAAGGTAAAGACAAATCAGTTGATAAGACAATCAGTAATTCTAAAGTTAGCAATATTCATATGAACGACATTAATTACTTCCATGCTTTCTGCTTGCTGGAAGCTCCACAGGCTTCTATACTGTACACTGACTTCTGTAGGTTATCAGGGCTGGGGAACTTCCTTTGATTACCAAAACCACTTGTTGAAGGAATACAACAGAATTCAGAAGTTGAGACAAAACTCTTTATGGTGTTAAAGAGCAAAGATGTCACCTGAGGACTAAGGTGTGTCTGACCCAAGACATATTTTCAGTTGCCTTGTATGCATATGAAAATTGGGCAATGAAAACGGGAGACCAGAAAAGAATAAATTCATTTGAATTTTAGTGTTGATGAAGAAGATTTATTACACCATGGACTGTCAGAAGAATGAATGAAATTTGTGTTGGAAGAAGTGCAGCTGGTTTTTTGGAAATGAAGATAGCGAGACTTTGTCTCTTGTACTTTGGGCATGTTATCAAGAGGGACTAGTCCCAGGAAAAGGATAACAATGAGATGGATTGACACAGAGCCTGGAACAATGGGCTCAAACATAATAACAATTGTGAGGATGGTGTAGGATCTGGTAATGTTTCATTCTATTGTACGTACGGTCGCTATGATTTGGAACTAACTCAAGAGCACCTAACAACAAGCACTGGAGAGAAATTGCTTATAAGATACAGTCTGAGCAAAGTTGGATCAGATCTTATGTAAGTATTTGGGAAGCACTATATTCAGGAATTAGAAACTTTCACAAGGAAGATTTTTTGGGGATGGGTTTACTTTTAGTTGTGAGACTGGTTGCTGATAAATGTTGGTTACTGATCAGCTGACTTTCAGAAGTGTGGTCACTGAGGTGAAATGTCACTGTCAATTACACAGTTTAAGAACAGACTCTGGTAGTTACTTGTTACCACAGCTACATAGCAATCACTATTTTTAAAGGAGTGTGGGAATTTTCAAATTCTCACCCTCCACAATCTTTGACTAAAGTGTCATGTACTAATAACAAGCCCCCTAACCTAGGTCTTCATTGCTCTGGCCTCTAAACCTTTTGTGCCAAGAAACCCACTTTATGGCAGTAAATCCATCCCCTGGATGCCAAGTAGTGTGGTTGGGAGTTGGTTCACACAGTAACCTCTCTGCGAGACAGTCTTTAAAGCTTGAAGGCCTCTCAGAAGAACCATCTCCATGTGGAAGAAGAAGTCTATGATCAGTGTACCAGTTTCCTGGCCTGGTTAGGCTGGAGAAGAGACATACTCTCTTACTACCTCTGTCTACAGTTGGTATCTGGAACAGACAGGATGGGGGACATGAGGATAGGAGGACTCAAAACCTGTAGACATTTTAAGCATCCCCAGTAGGGCAGGAAGTTCATCTCATGATATCAAACGGTGGCTTCTAATGATGTGGCTTACAGCTGCCAGCTCCCTCCCCCCAGTGCTGGGGAAAGGATAAGGGGGATCACAGGTGAGATGAGAGGAAGAGGGAAGAGTTGCTTCTGGCTCCTGTTGGGGTGACACTCACAGGACACTGGGCAGATCATCTTAGGTAGGAGGTCAAACCCTTACTGCAGAACTTTGCTCTCCCCTCCTTAGGTGAGTTTCACCTCCTCACATATTTCAAAACTCCCCAGTGCAGGAGGAAGGTTAGGAAGATGAGGATGGATGGTGAAGCTGGCCAATAACTGAACAATGACATTATCCTGAGGAGACTCTTCTGTAGGGCAGAAGGAACAGGCCAGTGATTGTATCCCCAGAACTAAGTGTCAATCCATAGAGACACCTATGCGCTCCCCTTGGGGTATGATTATGACTTGGGACCAGGTTTGTGGGACAACCTGTCATCCTTTTAGAGGGAGACCTGCCAAGACCTACCTTTGTGGAGACCTGTCCAACCAGACCAGGAAGTTCTGGTTGGACCCTTATGTGACAAAGCTGAGGGTGCTCCCTCTGTCCTTGACAGCTTCTTACTCCAGGCCACAGTGAACATTCAGTTCAGCATCTGGTATTCCACTTGGCAGGCATGTTTTGCCTCTCCAGAGGATACCTCCATAGCCACCCACTTCTGAAAGGTGTCATCTCCCACATGCCCCATGTTCAAGACCATGGGCTCCCTGTTGCAAATCCAGGTCATCAAGATGTCTTCAGCTCAACATAGATCAAGGACCTAAATGTGAATCCCAGAATTATGAAGGTCATCAATGAAAAATTCAGTACAAATGTGAAGGCACTAATGATGGGGAATACATGGACTACAAAACATTTTGAAAACCACACAAGCAAAAATAAATAAAATAGATGAGTGGGACATACTAAAAATTAAAAACTTATGCACATCAAAAGACTTCACCAGAAGAGT